TAGCGAGCAGTTGACCGGCGGAACAGCAGCTAAACTCTGCTTCAGCGTCTCACGATCTCTCTTTGTAGACACTGCCAGTGCTTACATTTGAGAGGATTACAGTCCCATAGCTGTTGATGCCTCCTCAGCATCACTGCATCACCTCTGGCAAACCTTAGCTTTAAGGAAAGAAAGAAAGAAAGAAAGAGAAGAAAAAAAAAAAAAGCCAGAAAAAGAAAGGCCACTGATCAGCTCCTCCAGTGCTCTTGACCAATCATTAGCAAACACAAGGCACTTCTAAAACAAACAGGTACTGTGAAATATGGAAATAAAAACTGGCAAGAGAAACACATTCATTTCCCAGGGAAGGAGGGGGGGGGAATCTCTGACTGCTTATTTTCCTGAGAAAGTTATCTACTTTGGAATAGAGTGGGGTGAGGGGGAGGAAGGGAAGGAGGAACCTCAGTACAGCTCAGGTTTCTGGACCAGCAGATGCTGGAGATAATCTTCCTAATGTCTCAATTTAAACCACAGACTGACTGGAGAGTAAAGGAAAAAGTTCATCATCTAATGCGGTCTTTTCTGGCTCCATTCAGGAGACAGTACTCCGTCTCGTCCATGCTTTTCATTGGAAAGGTAAGGAAAACATTTTTGTCAAGGTTAATTCCAATAGACTCACCACTGTTTGGGTATGAATAATGAATTTTATTTGGAGGGAGACGGGTGGCGGACAAGGCAGATTTGTCCTCTGACTCCCAAGAAAGAAAACATACATCTCACATACAATGAGGAAGGTCGTGTCTATTCATTTAAAAATAAAAATAATTTAAGAATAGAATTTGGAGACTTCTGTCAATATTCACAATTCCTTCAAACAGTTACAGTCCATTACAATTACTAATGTCAGAAGTATAATTGAAGGTCCTCACAGACAAAATAAATCCTCTTGAAATTAATGTCGGCAATGGTAATTTAAAATAATCATCTTTGGAAACTCTGCCATATCTGCTACAGAGGATCGTTACCCAGGAGTTCACAGGTATATCCATGATATTGCTCACCTCTGCAGCAACACCTCAATCATTTCACAAACCCCCACACAACGAGAACAGAAACTTCCATCTGCATTCTGCTGCGAAGCTAATGAAATGCTGATTTGACTAGAAAAGCTGCCATTGTTTACTACTCCATTATTCTGGTGTTCAGCTTCATCTGCTGCGTAGTTTTAGGGTTCCTGCCTTTATTAGACGATCAGCACAATAAACAGTCGCTTTAAAAAAAGGTTCTTTGAATTGCAGGACATTACCTTGTTCATTTTATTTGCAGTTACAGAGAAAGCAAACGTTAGAAGAAAGCATCTTCTGCGTTCAGTTTTAAGTAAATGCTCGATTAGTTCAGGAATCATTAGGCAGGTAATTAATTGTATACAATCTTGCTTTTTGGAAGGCCCCTAAAATGTCGAACCCGTCTTTAATCCTGGAGTTCCTGAGACTAGAAGACTGGCAGCGAGAATTCATGAATCCACATCAAATGATCTCCAAGGTCATTCAGCTATTACGCCGGCATTTCCTTCAAGTCTCTTTAAAAGTACCAGCATCTCTCTGCCGTTTTTGCTGGTCCTTGCTATGCCTTCAGGAGGAATTTCAGACACGGAAAAAGAAACATTTTCAATTCTGGCGCAGCAGTTTGAGGGGAAGCGTTCTTTTTGGAGTTAATTTCCTCTCGAGCATCACCACGCCGCACAGAAAGTCCTTCGGCTTTTATACCACCCCAGAATATTTCCGGCTATTCCTTCCCTTCATCCGCAAGCAACAGAGCACGTACAAACTCACTACTTTCCCCGGCTCCGCGTTGAAGCAGTACAGCCAGCCGGCTCACCTGGGCGCATCCTC